CTCTCTCTCTCTCTCTCTCTCTCTCTCTCTCTCTCTCTCTCTCTCTCTCTCTCTCTCTCTCTCTCTCTCTCTCTCTCTCTCTCTCTCTCTCTCTCTCTCTCTCTCTCTCTCTCTCTCTCTCTCCAACCCCTTCGTTTTGCATATCTTTGGTCATCGATTCATCCTCGCCGATCTATTTCAGTTCCGATGTGACTGATTCGACAAAACTCTCCCGGTATGGTTACGAGAGGAAAGCAAACTAGCAAGTGAGTGTCAAGTCTGGTTCCAAGCAAATGAGCAGATTATACCGCCATCCCTAGGGACCGGAGTTGAGGAAAGCCAGGCTATAAGTCTGGGAAACATATGCATGGTGGATGGATCTTGGACTTCTACAGATCATTTCAGTGGATGTGGTTGGGTTTGGAATGATAGCTCGGGAAATAGCCAGTTAATGGGGTTGCGCAATTTTTATAGAGTGGAGTCTGCGTTGCACTCAGAGTTAGAGGCACTGCAGTGGGCAATGGAGAATATGCTTCAACATTCGCCATGTTAGAGCTTTAGAACTGATTGCAAGGAAATGATTGCGATGCTCAGGAATCCCCACGAATGGCCTAGCTTCTCAACGGAATTGGAAAAACTCTTGACGCTGCGGATCTGCTTCCCTGATTTACGTCCCTAGGTTACAAAACAGATTTTCTTAATTAACTAAGTCTGCTAAATACTTTTATCGTGAGCTCTTGTATGTTGATTGTTCTATTCCGCTATGGTTATCCAAACCACCTTAAACTTGAATAATAGATCAACCGTTTGATGTCAAAAAATATATATATTATCACGTTAGATAAAAATGTATCATTTTAAGCAACGTTTCCTCCATTTTCACTACTCACTACGTGTAAGATTTGTCAATCGCCGTTAAAATGATTCAGATATTCTTTTTGTGGAAATAACTAACTAACATGGCTACTTTTTTTTGGCTCAACAACTCATATTAACTAAATCTTGATTACACCATCTTTGATCTCACCACATACACAAATAACTAACATGACTTAATAGTTAATAAAATTAAACTGAAGTATGATTTATTTATATTTTAAACTAATATTAATACACATTGGAAAATGGTGGCGTGGTGGGGGCAATTGAAAAAGACGGTCATGTGAACGTCTCTTTCTTTTTAGCTGTCCTCTTGGGTCGTGGTTTATCCTTATTCCCTACCACTTTCAAATTCTTCCAATTTTTTTTTAGTTTTCTTACTTTTTCTTGGAAATTCAAATTGTATACATGTATCATTCTTCTATGGAATAAGATAAATGTAATCTAAGTAGAATTTAAAATTAATTGTTCTGTAGTAAAATCCAAGATAACGACCTCTTTTTCTTTACATCTATGCGATTCTTATGACACACAGCTTGCAAATTTAGCTTTTTGCTTGATTCGTATTCGTTCTAGAAAGGAAAAAAAAGTCTATTTGTTTAACATTTCTCAATAACGTATTTTATTTGCTATAAATAGTTACCTCGAGTGTGTTACATATATAAACTAAACTGTAACGATTCGATCGTCCACGGTTAATGTACCATCCATACCTGATTTTTTGGCCCATGGGCTCCATCCTGTTCCAACGGTCGGTTCATTAATTTTTTAAAGTTCTAGAGTCATATTTACTGACCCTGCAATCACCACATGACATTTTTCCGTGATTTGGCCTCACTTACACGGTATCACAAATCACTTCCTGATAGATCATCCATCATTTGAACTCTCCAGCTCAAACACACTTAACTGTGGAGTTCTCTTTAGATGTGTTCCCAAAAAGGTAAATACACTTTAATGACATAGATAATCTAATCAATTCTCTTAAACTTTTTCATATATCACAACTCCGGATATTACATAAACATTTATCTCTTTTTCCTTTTCTTGCGACCAATATATTTCTGAGAACATATATACATTGATATCATCCCGTAACAACGAGAGATATTGATATATTATATTGTGTTATTGATAATTTGTCTGTGAAAAATTGGATAAAAATAAATTTACATCGCATACATCAACTAGAGTCAATGATAAAACTTATTAAGCAAACGAATGTCTGAATCGTACATATCAAACACAAACTCAAATATGATAAACCGATGAAAACTAATGGCTCGAAAAGTAAGGAAAGTAAATTACACGAACACGATGCTGGCCAGTTTAACTAATAATAATCTCAAACGAGGAGCAAATGGGCTGCAACAAGGAACGAAAGTGCTACGACGTCGTTTCTTACATTGAATGCTCCGGAATCGGGCGAGGCCATTGCCGGTGGCATGGGTCCCGGAGAAGGAGAAGAATCCATTCCGGGCATCATCGGTGGGGAAGCCATATCAGGGACTGTTTCTGGACTTGGGGCCATTGGTGGGCTCATTGGACTTGAAGATGGAGTCATTGGCATTGGTGGTGGAGCCATGGACATAGGTGGTGGTGCCATGGACATAGGTGGAGGAGTCATAGCCATAGGCGGTGGAGCCATGGGCATTGGTGGTGGAGTCATCATTGGCATAGGAGAGCCGCCGCTAGGCATTGGGGGCATGGACATTGAGCCAGAAGGAGCCATCATTGGAGACTGAGCTAAAGAGAAAGGAATAAAAACCATAGACAATATGAGCAAGAGGAAAGCTTGTGAAGAGGCCATGGTTATGTGTGTGGTTTGTTCTGTGAATAGTGGTTTATGTTATATAGACAAAAGGATATGCAATGTGAGTTGTAAAAGAGTGGGAGAGAAAAGTGAAGGTTCTTTGTGCTATGGGGATATATATATATACTAGAGATTATTAGATTTAAATTTTTGGACCGTTGGATATATAGTGTGACACGTACCAGTCGATAGATAGGTATGAGATGCTGATTTATTTTCCTCCACATATATGAAAAAGAGGAAAATCCCATTGTGATATCTCTTTGTAGGTACAGATAGAATAATCAATAGACATGAAAACGGGGTAATTATAATAATATTTTCATTTTTATTTATTTATAGTGGAACCATCAATCCGATTCACGGGTTGGTTTTAAGGGACCATCAAAATTATTAGAAAGGATTTTAATGATTTTTGTTAGCCATTAATATGGTATGGTAAACGGTGTTCATATTTTGTTGGGTTTTTTTGGGTCCAAACAAGATAAATCATACTTAAAATGCTATCTACACCATACTCAAAGGTGTTCATATTTTGTTGGGTTTTTTTTTGGTCCAAACAAGATAAATCATACTTAAAATCTATCTACACCATACTCAACTCGAAAATAAGAACTAACAGTTTTTTGTTTTTTTGAATGTAAAAGGATTAAATCCGAATCTATTAAAGACACAGACCTAATCCGGAGTGGAGGCACACATCCCACGGATAGACCCTCTCCTAGGTATTCAAATGGGTCGAAAACAATAACCCATATCTGTATGGCCAGTGGAATTTGAACCTAAATTTACTTTATTGGACAGGAAATGAGGTAAAACAAGATCAAACCAAACATAATCAGCCGGAGAGCTAAGAAATAGCTAGATAACACATAGGAGGAACAAAAACAGAACATCAACTAGCAATACTCGAAATGTAAGACATTCCAAACGAGGAAGATTGCCTATAAGATACGACAAAGTGATGCAACTTTGGCTTGCGTCAGATGATTCATTGCAAGAACATTAGTTAGGTTTTCTTTCCTTTCAAACAAAGTTACATTCATTGTAAAAAAGCTTTTTTGTTTTTGTTTTTGAATCCGTCTTATTATTCATTCAAAGAAAAAAAAACAAGAAAAGGGACAACAACATGGAGAAGCTGAACGAGGATAAAACAGCTTCGAGAAACACCTTTTCACCAAAGGGGAGCCCTGCAAAGCAAGGAACCTCGCTTCTACTAAACTGTTGCTGATTAAGTCGGGTAAAAACAATCTCAAAACAAATTGGCAGCTTGAAAGATCAATGGCATAGAGGACCAAACGGTGCAAGAAGATGAGGAATAAAGAAAAAAGATTATAAATGTCTATTATATAATAGGACTAATGTATTAACAATTATTTATGAATACTATTACAACATCCATCAATGTAATTCTGATTATCGAAAAATGTATCAGACTTGGTATCCAACAATGTTCGATCATGTTTTCATATGTCTTTCGTTGTAAACATTGCATTTGAATATATGAGATATGTGTAAATTTTTTGTTTGATTTTCACTGTAAAAGTCTATTTTGAAAGCTGGATTGACAGACTTGTCATCGGATTTTTCATGATTCTAATATCTTAAACATTTAGAAAAGGAGAAAAGATCACAATGCTAACAAAACATATATAAAACAAAAGGGACCATATGTGTTGTATTAGACCACACAGACTAATAAACTCCACGGCCAATATTGTGTCCGTACTCGCTAACAGCCATTTATGGTTGTCCCCATACTCTTTTCATTGTCACATACCAGTACTCTGTGGCCCTCATTTACTATTTAACCATCTTTTACATTGATTAGACGATCACAACAACGTCCATATATACATAAAATTGTTTGGACTTCGAATTGATGAAACTTGTACATTTAGCCGGCTTGTGAATTGCGACCGTTATGACACTAAGATACTTGATCAAATGTATTTTCGTAACTCATAATTAGTCCTTTGAAAAAAAAAACTCGTCTTATATCTTATTGTTAATCCTAATGGCCAGCCTTAGGCTTTTGTTTCCGATTATCGGTTTAATTATTTTATTTTCAGATAATTTGGTTCTTCTTTTCTGGAAATCAACCATGGAAAATCGGTTCGGATCGGTTCAGTATAAATATTTATGTTAAAACCATCAAACAACAGTAAAGTAACCAGGTTTGGTTTTAATTACTTGTGTATCTAAAGGACTAAATATTATTCAAATTATTTAACTTACCCAAACTATTCTAAAAAAAATGAATTACTCAAAAAATCCTAAAACTGCCCATAAAGAATGAATAAATATATAAATATATTTATTTAATGCTGAAAATGTCATATAATTTTATAAAATATAACTACTGAACTTAAAATATTTTGAGTCTTCGGATATTTAATTTAAGCATAACTATAACTAGTATTTTTGAATTTGCGATCGTAATATGTATGTTGGTTACTTATATGTGTTATGTTTGAGTCTCCAAGTAAGTACTATTCAGTCTCAGTTCAGTCTGAATGTCTAAACAAAAACCCGAGAAACCACTTTAGCAATACCAAACGGCAACAAGCACATAATAGAACCTGGACGTTCGGATATCCGTTCGGGTTCAGATCGGTATTTTGAGTTTGAGATATTTTAATACTGGGGTTAGTACTGTTCATGTATTTTCATATAGCAGATCAGATTCAGATATTTTTAGTTCAAATTCAGTTATTCTGGTTTTGGGTTCAGATATTTAGATTTTTTTAAAAAACAAATTTTCCGTTGCTCTAGTTTTTTGTATTTAAATTTACCACTAACTTAATTAATTTTTTAAATTTTTAATAGGTTGGACGATTAACAGATTCAGAGATAAAACTTTGAAAATAGAAGTAGAAGCTGAAATGGTTGTTATTTTGAGATTTTAGATGAAAATATTGTTAATCCATGAAACAAGAAGTTTGACATGTATTTTAAGTGAGTAGCAAATTACTTTGTCCGTAACCATATGCATACTATTTGATATTAAGCTATGCACAACAGCAATATAAATATTTCAAATAAATTGAGAGTAAGTACTAAGAGTCTAGATGTCGATCCTATGCATTGCTTGGAGGAAAGAAAGCAAGATTCATCATTTCCTCTAGAGGCTGGTTATTGTAATTCACTTGAGATTGGAGATTTGCAAATTGCTGACAATCTAAGATTAATGAAAGACGAGGAGGAGGTACAAACTCCCAATGTGTAGACTGGTCCGGCTGCTTCTCAGATTTCATCAGAAAATTAGTTAAGATCAGTGTACATTGTGGAGGACACTGAAGATAAGCTTACCTTGTTATAACCCATTAAAGCCAGAAGCCCACGCTGTAAACATCTTTAATACCCCTGTCAGAGAGTTGCCATTGAAACCTTCTACTACAGCAGCTAATCAAGATAGATCTTTGGTATAGAAAAACTCAACATCTGTGAAAATTTTATGGAAACTCTAAAGGGTTAGCTGTTTCCTTGATGAAGAAAACACACTACGAAAAGTCAAGCTACTCAAAAGTCAAAGCAGAATTTTAACTCCATTCGACCTAAAAGGCAAGCATGGCTCTTTCATCTAGAAAGAGTCCCTTGCAGTTCCATTTTATCTGAGAATACTTTTGCACAGACTTTTAGATTAGTGCACTATATTTATACTTCTCATATTTGTGGTTTAGGATCAGTCAAAATAGACCACGTTTCCAGATTTTGATTCTTACACTGATGTAGTGGAAGAAGATATTTCGTGACTGTATCATCTCTACTCTTCCTTCGGTTGAAAGTTGAAATGTTATGGACTAATCGATGGTGAAACAAATTGTAGTCTGTTGGTGGCTTCATCTGATAGAATACATGTGGCGATGTGGTGGCAAATACATGATTAAAGTCTCCATATCTGGAGCTTTTTTCTTCAAGTAAGATACCATTTATTGCCTTTACTTTCAGTAAAGTTGGTATACAATCATTCAATCTCCAGAAGACTGGTCTATTTTTCGATTTTCTAGATCCAGTTAGTTTACGTTTGAATGAATTTTCAGATTATTTTGGCTTTTCATAGAATTTGATTTTCACCTATATTGTTGTAGTTTCTTTTCCTTATGTTTGAACAACCAATGAAATAGTTAATTTATAAATGAATTTGAAACTGAAGAAAGGTAAAAAGGGGAGAAGGAAAAAAAAAGCCTGACACTAATACTATCTTTAATTGCTTCAAGATTTCAGAGTGTTTTTTCCATGGTGTTTTCTTCTCGAAGTAGGAAGTACGATGTTTTCCCAAGCTTCAACGGTGAAGATGCCAGAAAATCTTTCCTCAGTCACCTCCTCGTTAGGTCTGGGCATCCGGGTCCTCGGGTCGGGTCCTGTCGGGTCTGGATCTTTCGTGATACGCCCTAAGAACGGATCACTCAGCCGGATCGGTTTGGATATGAACTCCGAGTGGAGAACTGATGGATCGAAGGGTCGCACAAAGGTTGCGGAATGACCTTTGATATTCCCGAGCCTAGTTGCCGCCTGATATGACGCACAGGTCCGACAAAGAGACAGATCTCGAACTGCTGCCGGATATGACTCACCGGTCCA